AGCATTCGCTTTTTTACAGTGAATCAACCCCGAAAGCCGCCGAGGGCGACGCTTAGGGGATAAATGAACTGGGGCCGCTTTTCATTTTGTTGGGTCCCTACATCATCGTCATCGTCGACATCGTCATCATCGACCTGATCATCGACTTCACTTATATCATCATCAGTAGCATCATCGTCCTCATCACCAGCCCCATCATAAATCAGCATTGCGAGCACCTGCGTTATCAGCAGCAGCACCAGCATCATCACCATCGACAACAACAACATCATCGCAACCGCCATCACCACCAACACCACCACCATCAGCATCATCACCCTCAGCATCGTCATCATCAACATTAACACCAGCATCATCACAGCCAGCCTCGCCTTCACCACCTTCATCACCATCATAATCAAAACCCGCATCATCACTACCAGAAACATCTTCACCACCACCATCATCAACAGGAGCACCATCACCATCAACATCAACATCATGAGCACAGCTCATCATCATCATCCTCATCCTTCCCTGGCTCTTCCTCATCAGCATTATCCTCCTCTTCCGCCGCCTCCTCCTCGTTCTCATCCTCACCACCATCATCATCATCCTCATCATTCGCAGCGTCCTCATGACCATCATCATCCCATCATCACCACCATCATCAACACCATCATCATCCTGATCCTCCTCCTCCTCATCATCAATAGCATCAGCACCACCGTCATCATCAGCATCATCGTCATCATCCGCAACCGCATCATCAGCATCAGCTTCACCATCATCGTTACAAACATCATCATCTGCAGCAGCATCAGAATAACCATCATCAACAGCACTAGCATCATCATCATCACCATCACCAACAGCACCAACATCATCAACACCGACATCATTATCATCGCCGCTATCATCGCCACCATCGTCATCACCATCATCATTATCAGCAGAAGTATCATCACGAGCATCAACAGAACCAATTTCATCACCATCCGCATCATCACCATCATCATCACCATCAGCATTATCCCCATCACCATCATCATCGTCACCGTCTACATCAGCATCATCTACATCAGCTCGATATCTCGACATGTCGACTTCGGGGATGGGAAAGCCGATAATTCGAAATTTCGATACACCGCGGGCGGGGCAAAGCTTGTCGACGAGAACAAGATCGATAGCGCCCCACATCCCGCGAAGCTCTTTGTGCACAGGCGGGCTGGCGGTGCGATGATTCCTCTACGAAGCGCCCCCTTTTCCATCGGGAGGGCGGGATTCCTCCCCCCCCTCCTTCTCCCCCTCCTCCTCCGCAGCCGTTTTGGCTCCAAGTGTCCAACAGGGGGGGCTCTTCAACCTCCAGGCAAATCGGATACCGCTAGACCGCGGCACGTCGTCAATCTTCCTGCGAGCTCCTGGAGGAGCGGCCGCCTCGTTTCCCGCGCGGCGCCAACCACTGCGCCCTGAGTGCCATGGGACCTAGGCCAAGGAAGAGGACGTGGTCGCGACGCTGCAACGACTGGGCGCACGACTGGAAGATGCGAGAGCTGCAACAAGTGGGCGCGGTCGCGATGCGGGCGCTGCAACAAGAAGCCGCTGGCGGGTCCACGTCTCCCAATCTTGGGCCCAGGGATCACGCCAAGCAGAGTCCTCGTCCTGCTCCTCCTCCTCCTCCTCCTCCTCTGTTTCTTCTTCTTATTATTATTCTTATTAGTTTTTTTCTTCCTCTTCTTCTTCTTCTTCTGATTCTTATTATTATTCTTCTTCTTCTAGAAGAAGAAGTCTTCTTCTTCAAATTCTTCTTCTGGTTCTTATTCGTCTTCTTCTTCTTCTTCCTCCTCCTCCTTTTCCTCCTCCTCCTCCTCCTCCTCCTCCTCCTCCTCCCCCTCCCTCCTCCTCCTCCTCCTCCTCCTCCTCTCCTCCTCCTCCTCCTCCTCCTCCTCCCCTCCTCCTCCTCCTCCTCCTCCTCCTCCTCCTCCCTCCCCCCCCCCGCCCTCCTCGTCCTCGCCGCCCTCCTCCTCCGCCTCTCCTTCCTCGTCCTCGCATTTCGGGGCCGGCTGGAGTCCAGCTTGTCAAGGACCACCGCTTTCGTTTTGTTCGGCGTCGCCTCCTCCGCCGGCTCCTCCTTCACCAACTCGGCGTTCGGCTCCCCCTTCGCCCGCTCGTGGCCAGCCGTTTCCTCCTTCGTCCGCGCGGGCCGCGGCGGGCTCTCGGGGGCGACGTGGCGACCCCCGCCAAGCAGATGGAGAACCAGATCGAGATTGGACTCTTTCTGGATGCTGTAACTGGATAGCTGCAGGCCGTTGCGTAGCTCCCTACCAGCGAAAATCAACCTCTGGTGGTCGGGCGGTATGCCCTCCCTGTCCTGAATCTTCGCCTTGAGGGCATCGACGGTCTGAGTGGATGCAACGTCCAGGGTGAGAGTCTTGCCCGTCAGTGTCTTCACGAAGATCTGCATCGCGCCATTGGGGGCGCAGAAGAAGCCGGGGGCGCCCGCCGCACCCTGCGCGCCCATCTCGTCGCCCTCGCCCTGAAGAGGCGGGGGGGGCGAGAAGGGAAGCGAGGAACCCTTATAACCCCTATAACCCCTATAACCCCTATAACCCCCAGAACCCCTAGAACCCCTAGAACCCCTAGAACCCCTATAACCCCTTATAACCCCTATAACCCCTATAGCCCTTATAACCCTATAACCCCTATAACCCTATAACCCCTATAACCCCTATAACCCCTATAACCCTATAACCCCTATAACCCTTATAACCCCTATAACCCCTATAACCCTATAACCCCTTTAATAACCCCTATAACCCCTTATAACCCCTATAACCCCTATCGCCCCTATCACCCCTATAACCCCTATAACCCCTATAGCCCCTATAGCCCCTATAGCCCCTATAGCCCCTATAACCACTATAACCCCATAACCCCCAGAACCCCCCATAACCCTTATAACCCTTATAACCCCTATAACCCCTATAACCCCTTATAACCCCTATAACCCCTATAACCCCTATAACCCCATGTAACCCCTGTAACCCCTATAACCCCTAGAACCCTATAACCCCTGCAACCCCTGTAACCCTTATAGCCCCTTATAACCCCTATAACCCCTGTAACCCCTATAACCCCTATAACCCCTATAACCCCTAAAGCCCCTATAACCCCGATAACCCCTATAACCCCTATAACCCCTATAACCCTTATAACCCCTAAAACCCCTAACCCCTATAACCCCTATAACCCCTATAACCCCTATAACCCCTATAACCCCCTATAACCCCTACCCCTAGCCCCTATAGCCCCTATAGCCCCTATAGCCCCTATAACCACTATAACCCCATAACCCCCATAACCCCCCATAACCCTTATAACCCTTATAACCCCTATAACCCCTATAACCCTATAACCCTTTCTGGCAGCAAAATGCCGGACGCAGCGACGACATGCCCTAATTAGCAAAAACGCCGTAACGCCAGCCCCCGCCGTTACGACAAGGGGCGCCGGCGCCGTTACGACAAGGGGCCTTCCGTAGTTCCAGGCTCGAGCAAGCTTAGCCAGCGAGTTCACACCCAGGGTCGGCAGAGTCCTGGGCGGGCCTTTTTTTGTCCCGTGTCACGTACTTCCAGCGAGTACAGCAGGAGAAAAGCATTGATCGTTGAAAGAGTTAGAAGCAGAGGTAGGAAGAGGAGGATCGGGAGGAAGAGGAGGAGGAGGAGGAGGGAGGGGGAGGAGGAGGAGGAGGAGGAGGAGGAGGAGGAGGAGGAGGAGTGAAAGGCAGGCACAGGAGGCGCGGGGAGAAGGCATAATGCAATAGCAATAAAATAAAAGCTGGAATGGCGCTACTAATGCTAAGAAGAAGAAAGAAAACCAAAAAAGGCGAAGGGAGGGGCGAAACGAAGAGAATCGCAAAAAGGTTAGAGAAGAGATGGGCAGGGGGAGCGCGGAGGGGGTGCCTGGGGAACAAAGCAGGAGAGACGGCGCAGGACAGAGACATGACCAACGAAAAAGGAACGAAAGCAACGAAACGGCTTTCGAAACATGGGGAAGCATAACAAGACTGTTCATATAAAACAAGCAGAAAACGGAGAGAGAGAGAGGAAGACAAACATAGAGATAGAGAGAGATATATAGAGAAAACAAAAAGAGAGAAAAAGAGAGACAGAGAGAAAGAGATAACACAAACAACCGGAAAATATTAGAAACAAGAAAGAACGGTGCGCAAATCAACTAGAGGCGCAGGAAAACCAACCAGATACGCACCAAACAACATAGAGAAGTCAAAAACAAACGCAAGAGGAACGGAATATCAGGAAGAGCAGGAACAATATGAAGAGGACGAGGAGGAGGTGGAGGAGGAGCAGGAGGAGGAGCAGGAAGGGGAAGAGGCGGAGGAAGAGGAAGAGAGGGAATGGGAGCAGGAAAGCGACGGCGATGTCGAAACCTTGGACACGGCGCGCGCGCCGTTGTGGAAACCCTTCAACGTCAGCCTCGCGGGCGGCGACAGGCACCCCGGCAGCTCGGCAATGATCTCGGCAGCGACCTCGTTGCCAAACGCACCAGACACAGCCCGAAGATCGCCATCGTGGCCAAGCGCAACACACGCGACACCTGATAAATAACAAGGGAACGCGACACCACCAGCACTTCCAGGGCTCGAAGGCAAAGGGGTCCCCGTGGTGGTGTGGCCCCGCCATCCTCCCGCTCGAAAGGTCCCCGATATCCAGCTCGAGGAGGCTTCGTGGACCTCCTGACATCTCTTCACTGGAAGTTGCCCCTCTGGTGGTGGTGTCGGTTTCCCCCTCTCCGACCTGGTGGCCTCCCCCCGCTGTCGCTGCGCTCTGGGGTTCGGTGCAGGCGTCGCGCGCGGCAGCCTCGAAGGGGGAGGGGGAGGAAGAAGAGGAGGAGGAGGGGGAGCACGCGGAGGAGGAGGAGGTGGAGGAGGAAGAGAAGGAGGAGGAGGATGAGGAGGAGGAGGAGGAGGAGGAGGAGGAGGGGAAGGAGGAGGAGGAGGAGATTTTTTTTTGTGCATTCTTGCGCTCTGGCCAGCGTCGGAAGCGAAACCAGAGAAACACGGACACCGTCCGCAAGCGACCACGTCGAGCGTGCTGGTGCCTGTAGGCCGGCCGCCACGCGGGGGAGATAGAAATACAGTCTAACACTGCGCCCCACCATAAAGGCCTGGCAATACTGTGGTCTGGACTGCGCGCGGGCCTACTAAACCAAACGTAGCAAAGCACCAACGGAAGGTCGACACACATCGCGAACCACAAAGCCCGACGGCCCAGGACACGAGCCTGTCGATGCTCTAAGCACACGCGCCGCTGGAGGGCGCCCTGCGGAGACGCGGGGGCTCAACGCTGTACAAAACCTGGTAAAATACAAATGAAACTCGCGCGACCCATGTGAAAACCAGTGATCCGCACTGCCCCAAAAAAACATACGGACAACGTCGGGAACCATCCGCGGACAATGCCGGGAAGAGGCTTTCCGTGGAGCGCAGGGGGAAGACGAGGAGGAGGAGGGGAGGCGAGGAGGAGGAGGAGGAGAAAGAGGGCGATGAGGGAACCTTGGAGACGGCGCAAGTGCCGTTCGGGATGTCCGTGAACTTCTGCCCTGGGAGCGGCGAAAAGTACCTCGCCAGCTGGCCAATGATCGCGGAACGGCTGTAACCCATAACCGCATAGATGCTCGCGCGGCCGCGGTGCAGCTGTATGTGGCAGCTGAAGATCATCCCGGTGATCTCCATCGTGGCCAAACGCAACACAAACATCCCGATGATCGCCATCGCGGCCAGACGCAACACACGCAACACCTGGTATGGAACAACAAGGAAATGCGACACCACCACAACCAGGGCTAGAAGGCACAGGGGCCTCCGTGATGGCGTGGCCCCCCCTTCTCCCGCTCGAGATATCCCCGGTGCCCAGCTCGAGGAGGCTGCGTTGACTTTCCGACATCTCTTCGCCGGAAGTTGCCCCTCTGGTGGTGGCGTCGCTTCTCCTCCCTCCGACCTGGCGGCCTCCCCCCGCTGTCGCTACGCTCTGGGGTTCGGTGCAGGCGTCGCGCGCGGCAGCCTCGAAGGGAGGAGAAGTAGGGCGAGAAATTGGCAGGGTCACGAGAAGGAGGACGAGGAGGAAAACGAAAAAGGAGAGGATAATGAAATAAGATGAAAGGGAGGGGGGCACACCAACGATGCTGCAACGAACCCTCCCTCGAAACTCCCCGCTCGTAGGTCCTCCCTATGTTTATCCGCGTCAGCAACATCGGCATTCACGACATCGTTGGCACCACCGTCATCGACATCAGCACCACCACACCACCGCCACCATCATCAACATCCTCCCCCGCCGCATCACCACAATCATAATCCTCATCATCGTTGCGTTTGTTCTCGTCGTCGCCCGCAGAATCATCATCGCCATCCTCACGAGCGCACCATCGGCATCGGCATCATGTTCGCCATCGGAAACGCAATGGCAATCGTGATCGTCATTGCCATCGTCGTCATAAGGAGGGGGAGGAAAATGAGGAGGAACATGTGGTTTCCATTTGCACCAGAAGACTACACTGAAACAGCCTGCAAAACGGCCAGGCGAAACATTTAAATTTGCACTGCGGAGCTGGCCAAGGCGAAACACTCAAATGTGGACCGCTGGACTGGCCAGCAGCTTTGTGTTTGCCCAAGGCAACGGAGGATAATATTGGAAGAGGAGCGTGGGGGAAGAGGGCCATTACAGGCCCAAAACTCAGCAGCGATGCGGCGAGAATCTCTTTCCCCAGCCTCCTAGCTAGTAGGCTTTTCCATTGCAGCCCGCATCTGCAACATCGGCATTCCCCCCAGTGAAACAGCCTGCAAAAACGGCCAGGCGAAACACTTAAATTTGTACCGCGGAGCTGGCCAAGGCGAAACACTTAAACGTGGACCGCTAGACTGGCCAGCGGCTTTTGTGTTTGCCCAAAGCAACGGAGGATGATATTGGAAGAGGAGCGTGGGGGGAAGAGGACCACTGCAGGACCAAAACTCAGCAGCGATGCGGCGAGAAACTCTTTCCCCAACCTCCTAGCTGGTAGGTATTTCCATTACAGCCCGCATCTTCAACATCGGCATTCGCGACATCGTTGGCACCACCGTCATCGACTTCAGCACCGCCACACCACCGCCACCATCATCAACATCCTCCTCCACCGCATCACCACAATCAGAAACCTCATCGTCGTTGCGTTTGTTCTCGTCGTCGGCCGCAAGATCATCATCGCCATCCTCACGAGCGTACCATCGGCATCGGCATCATGTTCGCCATCGGAAACGCAATGGCAATCGTGATCGTCTTTGCCATCGTCGTCATAAGGAGAAGGAGGAGGAGGAGGAAAATGAGGAGGAAACTACAGTTTTTATTTGTACCGGAAGACTACGCCCCCAGTGAAACAGCCTGCAAAAACGGCCAGGCGAAACACTTAAATTTGTACCGCGGAGCTGGCCAAGGCGAAACACTTAAATGTGGACCGCTAGAC